TGGAAATATCTGCTAGTTGAAGTAGGTAACTCCTCTTTATCTAAGGTTTGTCTAACTTCTGATAAGGGCAAGAGGAATCTGTTGCTTGCTAGTGAATTTACTGTTTGGAGGTGTTACCAAGCTACACCAAAGCTGTTTTTCTCAGATCACTAATAATACCCATACAGTAGAGTTCTATTGTTTTTCAGGGTGAGTAAGTAACTCTCAGTTGGACCCAGCTTATCTACATACAACAGCTCCCTACTCTTATTGGAAATATTATAGTCTGCCAACACCAAATGTATCACCACACTTCCATTCCTATTTTTCTTTATCTCTTCCTCCCCATTCATCTTTGTGTATTCCTTTTTTCCAAATGTATGTTGCTCCCTTCTTTCTGGTGAACAGAGAGATCACACTAATTTCAGTCCTTTGGTGTTACAAGCATGAGCACACACACACTCACAAATGTGTGCACAGAAAAAGCAGTGAGTTTTATTAATCTATGCCACCTGTACTTCCCCTTTCTCCTACCTCTGGGACTGGACTTTCTATTTATTGTGACAGACAGATCTTGGTTATCATAAACTAAAAAGGGACATTTTATGTTGTATACTTGCTGTACAAATAATAGGGAAAAATATAATATCCCTGTTTATACCACGATCATTTTATGTAAGAGTATGTCTGGCTATGTAAAAGGCAAATGGAAGGTGTAAATGTTGGGAACATAATGTAAAAAAAAAGAAAAAAAATGTTGTAAACACATCTTGTTTGCTTTTCTACTTCAAATTAAAAAAAAAGACAGGTCCTTTACAACCATTCTCAAACATAAAATAGGAATGGTACTATTACTACCTAGGAATTTTCTCAAAAGATACATCTCAACCATAGCAAATAAATGGACTAGTTTCAAATGTTATGGATTTCTCTACTACATGCAAGGAGACTATGCATGTATTGGGGAGTTCTCCAATCAGGCTACTGTAACCATGACAGTAGCTGATCTTCCCAGAGAGAGAAATTTAAATTAAAACAGAACCTAGGTCCCAGATTCAAAATAAATGGAGTAGTTATTTTCCATAATGGAACATTACAGGAAAGAAAAAGCAGCAGTCAGGTGTGAAAAGTTATCCTGAATAGAACAGGGAACTAGCCATCAATAGGTGAAAGCTATGCCAAAGTGAAAGATCAAACTCATTTCACTTTAGAACTAAAGAAATGCACTGTGAATAAACAGCATATAATTAATACTGGCCACATAAGAAAGGCTTTCTATGAAATCTAAGGAACATAGATAGGAAGTACAAACACTAATATAATTCCTTCATTTGCAATGATTTGTCTAGCAAAGTTATAGATACTAGACAGAGTCGGGACTTTTTTAGCAGTCAACTTTCTAATACAGCTGAGGTATTACATAATTTCTGCCATTTCAAATAAATTCCTTAAATTAGCTTATAAATTCCAAACATGTTTGATTTACTAAATGCATTTTAAGTGAGCTCTGTCTGCCACATGATGATAAGGATGTCCACATACAGACTGACCACAAATCACCACCTGATAAACCATGCTACTGACCGACAGGAAGCATCAAACTGTCTTTCCTGGACTCTCATGTATTGTCATAGGGGGTATCAACAGGACAACACTGTTCTCATGGGCTATAAGGCTGAATTTAATTGTTCAATGAGAGGATTCTGCCACCTCCTCCCCCTAGGGGCCAAAGTTTCCAAGTGCTATGTTCACCCTAAAACATTTAAGTGCCTACTATGTGCAAGGCACAGCCCAACAGTGGGGATACAAGGAAAACAACTTTCTGCCTTCAAGGAGCATTCTATGGAGTGGAAATAACACAAACACAGAAAGTTAATACAAAATAAATTCTAAATAAATACAAAGTATGAGGCGGTGAAAGGAAGAGCAATTATAATTGGGGAAAAAATTAAAGAAGCGCTGGAGATAAGGTGCCTGTCAGATCAAAGCTTGCAGGTAGCTAAGAATTCCAAAAATTGGCATTGTAAAGGGACAGCAGTTTATCCTATGCTAAAGTGGAATTAGAAACCAGCTTACCAAGGAGTTAAGGAATGAATAGTGAGGAAACAAGCAATGAGTACAGATAGCTTTTTCTATTATTCCATTAGATTCATCGTATCACTGACAAATAATGGAAAAGCAGGACTCGCTATCACTACTCTCAATCTACAGGGAACAAATACGATCAAAAATTAAATCACTAGCAACACCGGTAAAACAGCACTGGCCTCTTGATTTCTAGTTGACAGATGAACTAAAGTATTCTGCCTCTAGGAATAAATAGTGCTGTGGCCATTCCTAGACTAGGCCCATAGGATGAAGTCTTGGAATCTCCCTTGATGTACACATTGGCTTCAGCTCCTGGGTAGTAGGAGTGGAAGAGAACCAAATCAAAGTTTCCAGCCAAGACCATCTAAAATATTCAATCCAATCACTCTCCTGAGCTGCTCTCATATTTTATAAATGCCTTCTGGATATCTCTCTTTGGATGTGCTGCACCACGGCCCCTGAAACTTCATATGCTCAAAACTGAACTCATCTTCTCTCCCAAAAACTGTTCCTGCTCTGAACTTTCCTATTTCTGTTGGTAAGGTACCATTCTTCCAGTCAGCTTTGAAGAATGAAACTTTTGAAGATGAAAGTCACCGAAAATTTTTCCCTTCCCTTCTCCCTCATCTTCTATTACCAATCAGTTGCCAAATATTGTCCAATCTTACCTCCACATTCCTCATGTCTATGCCCTCTTCTTCACCCTGTATATGTGCCTGTAGTCAAAAGATCTGGGTTCAAATTCTGGTTCTTTTATTATCTGTGTGATACAAGTCAGTTCCCCTCTCATATTCTAATTTTCCTTAGGAAGGGATCACCCTACAAGGGTTTAATCTGGGGTCCAGGAACTTTTAATGTCATAATTATACTTCAACATAATTGGTTTCCTTTGTATTCTTATATCTCTTACTGTATGCATCACCTGATGGCCAAGAGGGGTACAAGAAACAAAAAAGGTTAAGAGCATCCTGGCCTGGATGATCCCCAAAATCCTTCAAGCACTAAGATTCTAGGATCCTAGTTTAGGGGGTGCTCATTTTTCATTTAGGCTATTTTAACAGCCTTCTATTGTTCTTTCAATCTGCAGTCTTCCTCCCTTTCCCATTCTCCCCTTTCCAACTGAATCTAATCAAAATCTATCTTTCTAATGCACAAGTCTCACTATGGAGTCAACTCTTCACACACTCTGTGATCTAGTGACAGTGGCCTTCTTATACTTACTTGGATACAAGACACTCCATCTCCTGATTTCGTGCATTTTCATTGGCTGTCCCCCAAGCCTGGAATGCTTTCCCTTCCCATCTCCTTTCCTGGTTTCCCTGGCTTCTTTAAAGTACCAACTAAAATCCCAACTTCTTACAAGAATGATCCTCTTTAATACTAACGTCTTCCCTCTGTACAACATCCCCAGTTTTGCCTGTATATATCTTGTTTCTTCGTTGTCTCCCTGATGAGACCCTGAGCTTCCAGAACAAGGGCTGTTTCATTATTTTCATTTGTATTCTCAGCACTTAGCATAGTGAAGGTGCTTGATGAATGCTTGTCTACTTGCTTTTGGAGACAGGTTGTACTTTCCAAATTCTACACAATTGTGATTCTCCAGCCAGTTGAATTCCTTCTCTCCTTCCCTTCAAGGTTCAACTCAGATGTGACCTTCACAAACCCTCACCTTGCCTAAAACACTTTATCTGAATCTTTCATTCCTGCCCCCCCCATTACCTCCAACCTTGTAACATAACTGGTAGGTATGTTTCGCTACCTTCCCCAACTTCCCATCTCCAACAGCCTGTAAGCTCCTGGACGGCAGCACTGAGGCTGTACTTTCCAAATTCCACACAAGTGGGATGTACTCCTATTCTCCAATCAGTAGAATTCCCTCTCTCCCTAGAAGGCTCAATTTAGGTGTGACCTTCCCTAGTATTTTGAAAGAAACATTTTGCTTCTTTCATTCTCCACCCTCCACCACTCCCAAGAGAAACTAAGTGCTGCAGTGTGGAAGACCCGAGTGCAAATCCAATCCCAGCCACCTATTAGCTGTGTGACCTGGGCAAGTCACTTAACCCTGTTTACCTCAGTTTCTTCATCTATAAAATGAGCTGGAGAAAGAAATGGCAAACCACTCCTGTATCTTTGTCAAGAAAACCCCAAACGGGGTCACGAAGAGTCTGACACGATTGAAGGGACTCAACATCATTCCCAATCTTGTAATATACTAATGAGTGTATCCCGCAGACCTCTCCACCCTGCAGTGGCCTGTAACCTCCTGGAAGGCAGAACTGAAACCGTACTTTCCAAATTACACACAATTGGGATGCATTCCCAGTCTCCACCCAGTTGAATTCCTTCTCTCCCTACAAGGCCCAGATCAGGTGCGACTCGCTCCCCAAACCATTCCGGAGTCTCCGCAGCATAAAGTTATTCCTCTAGTGTCCCATTAACTACAAATGCTTGGTTATCCCCTCCCTCCCGTTCCCCACCACCCACCATCCCCGCCTAGTAACGTATTATTCATCAAGAGAACATATACAGTATAAAGCCACAATCCCTCAGTGGAGTGGAAGCTCCCGGAGGGCAGCCGCTTACGTCACTTCTCTTAAGTGTCTCTAATACCCAGTGTCCTGCATCAGCTAGGCGAAGAATGAGGAAGATAATTGGTGGTCCGACCCCAGGGTGAGATACCTCCGCCTCCCCACCCCCACCCTCGTTGGGTCGGATTAAATCTACGCAGGTAAAAGGCCCCGGGGAAATGGCGGCAGTGACTCAGATGAGGTGAGCCCAAGCCCACGGGCCACGAGGGGTTTAGGGGGAGGGGCAGGACACACCGTCCCGTATCCTAGCAACGCCGTACCAAGCCACGGCTTCCTCCCCACACCCTGCCTCCAACCCTAGCAAGCCAACCGCGCTCTCCATCGCCCAGAGTAGACCACCTTCACCTCTTACGCTCACACTGTGTCCATCACGCCTGCCCCCCCCACCCACAGTGCGGAGGAGAGGAGGGAGTGCCGGGAGTCCTGTGGAGCCGATGAGGACAGACCGGAGTGTGGCCCTGCAAGCCAGGTCGGACCGAACCACCTGAGGAAACATAGGTGGGGAGTATCATTAAAAGACAAGAGGAACCTTGAGTCTCAGACCTGAACCCGCCCCGAAATTTGCCTTTCGGCGTATCCGCTAAAAATACGGTCATTCTCTTCACCTCCCTTCTCGTTTCTTTCTCCCACTACCCATCTCCTGTTTGCGCCCACCCCCTACCTAACCACGCTGTGGTTCGGCCCAGTTCCGCCTAGGCGATTTCCTCTCTACTCCCCCCCCCCCGAGGGAGGGGAGGTGAGAAGGTCGGGTCGTTGCCCTTACTTGGAGACGGCTTCGCACGTTTTTGCGTGCGTCACTCCGCAGTCCGCCCTCTTGCTCCCTCGGCCCTCCCTCCCAGAGCTTCGGGGTTACCGGAAGTGATGATGCAGGAGGAGATGGAGGAGGCGGGGCCTCCGGGCGACCGCCGCTGGTGGTGTTGCAGATGAGGAGGAGGCGGCTGCGGTGTTGGAAGAGGAGGAGGAGGCGGCGGTGGTGTAGGGAACTGGAACGCGAGCGGAGATGGTAGGTGGTTTGGACCCTCCGGGCTGCCGTCGTTTCCAGAAAGGGTTTGGCTGGCTAGGCTGGAGGAGCCTCAGGAGCAGCTGTGAGTTGGGTGGAGTGAGGAGGGGGAGTAGTGAGGTAAAGCCGAGGGGGGGGGCGGGTATGGGGGGGGGAATGGGTCGACGACTGGTCCGAACTGTTCACCCTGGAGGTGGCTGTGAGGAGAGCGTTGTGCCTCGTCACCTGGTGCTCGGGAAACTTACCTTTTACTCATCCCCTTCTTCAGATTCCCCCCACCAGCCCCCACCCTAAAGGCTTTGGGCGGGGTGGGGAGAGGGGGACGGGACCATTTGGGGTGGGGTGTGTGTCAGGGAACTGGAGCTACGGGATGATGTGCCCCAGGTAAGAGCCTTGGGGTCTGTGCTTCAGTGGGGGTGGGGGTGGCTGAATTCTCCAGCCTAGACCTCCTCCCCACCTCCGAACTCTATTCGTAAACTGTTCCTGGTGTTAAGGAGCTTGGACCCGAAGGCCTCTCAGCACCTTTGCAGTAAATGATAAATATCTGTGCCTAGGCTAATGGGGCTGGAGCCTTTGCCTATATCCTGTGTAGGAAATGAGATGTGGTGACAAATATTATGTCGGCTTTTTTTTTTCCATTCCCATTCTTTTCCATTATGATCCCATGATCCTAATGTGTCTGGGTGACTATCGTTATTATTTTATAAAATGACACTGTTAGCCTGGTGCCAGTGGTCACCCTCTTTCAAATTTGGTGTTTAGCCTTTGGTTTTAATCACTCAGAACTACAAGCTTTGTACCAGCGGTCGGTCATAGGCTCTGTCACACAGGGAGCATCACTCAGTGCCTAATTGCTTCAGATTATAATGAATACTTATTCATTTGAAAAAAATCTGACCTCAAGGTTTCAGAGTTAGGGTGATTCCTTATACCTTGCAAGGATTTAAATGGCATCCTAGTTCAATAATCAAAGTCTGCTCTAAATACTTTGTATATGAAGAATTTACACCTTGTCAATTATTTCTAGAATGATTTGGTGCTCTTCTAATTCTAGATTCTCTTTCTCTCCACCCACACTTGATGATGCACTTCAGAGAGCAGAAAACCCCATATTACTTTTTTTGTTTCCACAATTGGACAACAGTTTTTTATTATTTTTTTATGTGTTTGGCACACAAGACTTATAGAGCACATAGAGCATATACTGACTTTTAAAAATTTTATTTATTTAGATGTGTACATAGCTAATCTTAAATCTGGTTTTGTTTTGGAGAGGGAAAGCACTAACTTATGTGAAAATAAAAAATAGATGTAAAGGCTTCTGTTGGTATCTTACTGTATTAAAGAGAAAATAAATGAGGATGTAGTGCCTTCACAGACCATCATTTGGATTTTGGAATGAGGTGCTAGCCTTAACTATGTAAAAATTCCTATTTTGACATTAACATTGTATTCAGCTGGAAATATGAACTATGTTTTTGGAAGACTTTAAGAATCTTGGCCAAACTTCTTGCTATTTTGATTGAAACATTTATCCATTAACTTACATGCTTCTGTTATAGGGCTTGGACACCATTTTTAAAAATGTACATCTATATATAATATCTTCCTGATGAAGGGGATCCTACTCCCAAATCAAGTCACAAAGGTTTTTGTAGTTATAATAGTATTGTGCCCGTAGTCATAAAGTACTGTATTAGATACTGTAAAGAAACATGGCAAAGGAATGACAGAAATCTGAGGGAGGGGTTTGAACCATAATTTACATGAAAATAGTGTTTTGTTTAATAGTTTGGATGAAATAAATAAGCAGTCAAGATAGTGCAATGTGACAGGTTCTCTTAAATATTTCCATTATACTGCATCATTGCTCAAACAGGCTTTTTAACTTTTAATTAATTTTTTCTTTTGTACTGTTTTGGACTGTCATCAGAGACTAATCTTTGATGAGGGCCAAGTTAGAGGTAGTAGTCACCTTGGTTTTCTGTAGCTGATGAGTCTTCCATTCTTCATAATTAAAATTCAGTAGGATGTTAATTTATATAGTCTTTTTCTTAAGTCAGGTGTTTATATAGAATTTGCTGCTATTTTAAATCATGAAAAACCGATATGCCTCCTAGTATAGGAATTCTTGACAGGTACTGTATAATTCTGTAATAGTATTTTGCCAAGTAATATGTGCTATTTTAAAATACTTACGAAGTATAGGAAGATGGCACTACTGACTTATCATCAAGAAGATTGGTGCTCCAAGAATTGGCTTTCTTTTTGAAGTGAGAATGGTTCAATGTTGACACAGTCTCGTATTCTTAACAAGTCCCTTTTGTAACTGAGGGACATAATACCTAGGCAACACATATGTTTCAGTATTCTGCTGGATTAAAGGCAGGGATGTGCTGGAGCAAGCTTGGACTCAATGTAAGAACCTTTTCACCTTGGAAATTGGCAAATGATACCAGTCAGGGCTTGACTTATTGTTTTAGACTTAAAGTGATAGAGAAAATGTTAGTAATGCAGATTAAATTTAGAAGTGTGTTGTGAGTACCTTCCCCCCCCCCCAGAGCTGGTGGTTAAACATTTACCAGCATACCACTGACTAAAGGAGATCTTTTAGGAAATGAATCACCTGTGCTAGGGGGCCAAACTGTGTCAGTGGAAGAGCAAAGTTAATTGCCTAGTTTGGGGCTTGAGCTAGAAAGGCAGCATGGTATATAGTGTGTGGGACTTGGAGTGAAGAACACCTAGGTTTGAATCCTGCCTGCTACACTTGCTAGTTGTGTCATTGTGGGCAAGTTATTTAACCGCATTTGAGCCCATCTGTAAAGTGGGGTTAAGAATACCTGTAGTAGCCACTGTACTTGCTATGGGAACAAGTGAAATAATATATGTAAAGAACTTCATAGGCCTTAAAATATAAAAGCCAGCTGTTATTACTAGTTATCATTGAACCCATGACACTTATCTCTTGAGTACCATTCTCTCGGCCATATTAAACTATAAGCCTTCTATCTTTTCCTTTTGAGATCACTAATTTCTAATAGCTTTATGTTTTGGGCTAACGAAACAATCCATTAAAAAGAGGCTTCTATGATCCTTCTTATTGAACTAAAGTACAGAGATATGTAATTGGAATTACGTATCTCTTATCTTTGAAACATATCTTCACCGGAGGCCTTCTCTTGATACCTTATGCAGTGGAGATGCTTCAGCTTTCTCAAAAGCTGTGCCATCAGAGCATAGACTGTGTTATTTCCTACAAAGCTAAAAGGCTTCAGGTAGAGACTCCCACTACTAAATGTTTGTCCTGACAATAACGGCATAGCTAGGTTCAGAGAGACTCCTTACGAGCTTGGCTCTTGAATGATGAATTTTTTTTGTCAGTTGTAAAGGTGTCTGATTTGAGAGATTTTGATGCCTCTTAGCAGGAGTAACTCACTCATTGGATCTTTCAAGTATTAAAAAACAGTGAAAAGTATTCTGGGGTGTGATGGCCTCTTGCCCTGTAGAATGCTGAAAAGTATAAATGTTTAGGTATTTGTACCATCACACACAATTTCACAAATGCTCATTTAAACCTTTTAGTGTTTCGGAAAATGGAATCATATATTAAGAAATTGTTTACCATTTTCAAGTGTTATTATTTTGGTAGGTTTTACTGATATTATATGCCAGAAGCTTCTGATTGTCTCGGGTATGAAAACCTTTTGGATGACAGTAGGAATGAGTCTTTGTTGAATCTAATGAATGTATATATACACATACTACATTGCAAATTACAGAAGTGAACAATTAATACTATGCAAACAATTCAGTTTTTTCCCCGCTTGTTCCATAGAGTAGACCATTCTGAGAAGTGGAGGATTTATATTGATATGGGTTTTTTGGCTTTGGCCCAGGTTAAAGAATTTTGACTTACTCTATATGCTAATGATGCACTTAAAATGCTCTTTCCAGTGGGCTGTCAGGCTTTCCACTATTCATCCTTATTTCAATGGTTTATTATAACTCAAGTATGAAAATATCCTGTATGTTGAAATTTCATCAGCCAATTTAGAGACTGGTGGCTTTTTTTCTTTCACATGAAAAAAAATGGAGAAAAGTGTGAGGTGCTGAAGCCAGTAGTATCTAAATTGGTTAGTTGTGTTTTAGAAATGAACCTTACACCTATCTACATGAATTTTAATTCCAGGTTTTTATTTTCTGTCCAAGTTGCCAGTGGATTTGTTTCTTAAACTCTGGGGGCCTTCTGGGAAAAAAAAAAAACCTCTTGAAGTAATGGGAGACCCAACAGGGCAGTTGAGGCCACTGGACTATTGGAGTTGTGATTAAGTGGTTTTAAAATTTGATCAGATGACTTAAAATTTAATCTGATTTTGATGTTGTTTTTGATTTACATGCTGTGGCAAGGAGAGTTAATTGCTTACCTACTGTTG